ATAGGGAAAGTTACAGAAAATTGAATGCAGACTTCCAAAGAATAGCAAGGAGAGACAAGAGGGCCTTTTAAAATAAACAGTGGAAAGAAATAGAGGAAAATAATAGAAATGAAAAAACTAGAGATCTGTTCAAGAAAATTGGAGATATTAAAGGAACATTTTGTGCAAAGATGGATATGATAAAGGACAAAAATAGTAGGGACCTAACAGAAGCAGAAGATATCAAGAAGAGGTGGCAAAAGGTGACAAGGCCAGTGGAGGTGATGGCATTCCAGTTGAACTATTTAAAATCTTAAAAGATGATGTTGTTAAGGTGCTACACTCAATGTGCCAGCAAGTATGGAAAACTCATTAGTGGCCAGAGGATTGGAAAAGATCAGTCTATGTCCCAATCCCAAAGAAGGACAGTGCCAAAGAATGCTCCAACTACCGTACAATTGCATTCATTTCACACGCTAGCAAAGTTATGCTCAAAATCCTACAAGGTAGGCTTCAGCAGTATGTGGACTGAGAACTCCCAGAAGTACAAGCTGAATTTCGAAGGGGCAGAGGAACTCAAGACCAAATTGCTAACATGTGCTGGATTATGGAGAAAGCCAGAGAGTTCCAGAAGAACATCTACTTCTGCTTCATTAACTACGCAAACTATGGCAAGTCCTTAAAGAAATGGGAGTGCCTGACCACCTTATCTATCTCCTGAGAAATCTATATGTGAGACAGGAAGCAACAGTTAGAACTGGATATGGAACGATTGGTTCAAAATTGGGAAAGGAATAGGACAAGACTGTATATTGTCCCCTTGCTGATTTAACTTATATAGCGCATGCATCATGCGAAAGGCTGGACTGGAGGAATCCCAAGCCGGAATTAAGATTGCCGGAAGAAATATTAACAACCTCAGATATGCAGATGATACCACTCTGATGGCAGAAATTGAGGAGGAATTAAAGAACCTTTTAATGAGGGTTAAAGAGGAGAGTGCAAAAATGGTCTGAAGCTCAACATCAACAAAACTAAGATCATGGCCACTGGACCCTTCACCTCCTGGCAAATAGAAGGGGAAGATATGGAGTCAGTGACAGATTTTACTTTCTTGGACTCCATGATCACTGTAGATGGTGAGAGTAGCACAAAATAAAAAGATGCCTGCTTCTTGGGAGGAAAGCGATGACAAACCTCAACAGCATCTTAAAAAGCAGAGACATCACCTTGCCAACCAAGGTCTGCATAGTCAAAGCTATGGTTTTTCCAGTAGTGATGTATGGAAGTGAGAGCTGGACCATAAATTGTATGGAAGTGAGAGCTGGACCGCTGAAGAATCGGTGCTTTTGAATTGTGGTGCTGGAGGAGACTCTTGAGAATCCCCTGGACTGCAAGAAGAACAAACCTATCCATTTTGAAGGAAATCAACCCTGAGTGCTCACTGGAAAGACAGATCCTGAAGCTGAGGCTCCAATACTTCAGCCATCTCATGAGAAGAGAAGACTCCCTGGAAAAGATCCTGATGTTGGGCAAGTGTGAAGGCAAGAGGAGAAGGGGACGACAGAGGACAAGATGGTTGGACAGTGTCAGCAAATTTACGAACATGTATTTGACCAAACTCTGGGAGGCAGTGGAAGACAGGAGGGCCTGGCGTGTTCTGGTCCACGGGGTCACAAAGAGTCGTATACAACTTAACTACTAAACAACAACAACAACAAGATCTGTTCATGACTGTGGAATTCTTTTGACCATCCCATCCATAGAACATCTTTATCTTGTCCAGCAAAAAGAGAATGAACAGCTTTGGGGTACTGGCTGAGAGGTTCTTCCTGACCAAGGCAAAGATCCTTGTGGCTCCTTGCTGGAAGCTGTTGGAATGACTATCAGAAGTCCTACCAGCTTCGCCTGACCGTGGCACAGTAACTACGTTATGCGGTACCTCAATCTAGGTTTGCTTAAGGTTTGCAGGGACAGGAGGTATGGATGAATTATCTGATAGTGCTGCACAGCAACATTTTGGATGGCTTCCTAAATCAGGTATGGGGAACATTTGATCTACAGGCCACAGTTGGTCCATGTGTCCTTCTGATTTGGCCCATCGCTTGTCTTCTCTATCCCACTCTGCTTGCTTCTCACTGCCTACATTTCATTTCTTGTTTCTCATCAGTGGTTGGGTAAAATGATCAAATGAAACCTTCCTCTTCATAGGCAATATACCTTGTTTAAAAATGCACTAAACAAACAGATTGGCCATTACCTGTAAACTGTAGTTCTCGCAGGGGTCTAGATAGCAAACGTAATACAATGAATCAAATGAGCCTATGTCTATTGAGAACCTATGTTGATATGTTTAATTCAGCACTATCTAGTTTATTGTGAATGACAATTCTCTTTTCTCCCTTCTCCCTAGCACAGAAAGGGCAGAATGCTTCATCACCACCTAATGTTTATTGCTGGAATGATTCTTGCCTACAGAGAAACAGCTGCAGTTCCTCGGTGTTCAGTGACAGAAAGAATTGCATACTATAATCACTGCAACCTCACCTGGGTTCCACCTGTGCCCAAGAACATTACTTCATTCTTCCTAAACTTCAATTCCATTCAGGAGGTGAATGCCACCTCATTCCCATTGCTGATGCAACTGGAGACTTTGTCACTTGGATCACAGTCTGCCTCTCCAGTTACTTTAAGAGGAGAAGCATTTAGGAACCTTCCAAATCTCAGACAACTGGATTTAGGTGATAACAAAATGATTGTGTTGGACTCAGATGCTTTCAGAGGTCTAGTGAATTTACGTAAACTTTGGCTTTATTATAATAGTCTTAATGAATTGATTCTGGAAGATGATTACCTTCAAGATTTGGTCTCTTTGGAATACCTGAATCTTGAGTACAATAAAATCACAAGACTTCATCCTCATCCTTTATTTTACAAAATGAAGTCTTTGGATACTCTGGAGCTTAAACTAAACCGCATTGGGACCCTCTGTGAAGGAGATCTTGATAGCTTTCAAGGGAAAACTTTCAAACTGTTTGCTCTTAACTCTAATAATCTTTATATAGAAAACCCTGTGAACTGGACAACTTGTGGGAATCCTTTCAAAAATATTGTCATAGAAACTCTGGATGTAGGTGGTAATGGTTGGGACGTGGCTGTCACACAGCAATTCTGTTCAGCTATTCAGGGAACACCCATTTTAGCATTGAAACTCTCCTCTCACAGTATGGGCGCATCATTTGGATTTAATAATCTCCGGGACCCTGACAACAATACCTTCATAGGCCTTGCTAAGAGTGGTCTTCACTTCCTTGACCTTTCAAGAGGTTTTATTTTTGCTCTAAACACACATGTATTTCAATATCTTGCTAGTTTGCAATGGCTTGATCTTAATAGAAATCAGATAAATCAAATTGGAAAAAGAGCATTTTTTGGTCTTTGGACACTGACTCACTTAAACCTATCAGGCAATCTATTAGGTGAGCTCACTGCTAATACTTTTGATGGACTCTATAACTTGATATCTTTAGATCTGCAAAACAATCATATTGGGGTGGTTGCTCAGGCTACCTTCAAATACTTAACAAGACTTAAGGAGCTGAATCTTATGGATAATGCCCTAAAATCAACCCCATCATTCCCAGACCTCTCCACTATTCTTTTAGGTGGCAACCAGTTAAAGAGTATAGGCTTCAACAACATAAATGCAACAATTATTAGCTTGGAAGAAAACAGATTAGACGATCTGAGTGATCTCTACAAACTTCTTCAAATTCCAGTTTCACAGTTCATCTTTTTGAAAAACAATCGTTTCTCTTCTTGTTATGCAAGTAATGATGTTCCAGAAAATAGCCGGTTACTCTACTTGGATCTTGGGAACAATATGTTAAAACTTATATGGGAGAGAAGTTTATGTCTTAATGTGTTCAAGGGACTTATCAAGCTTCAGGTCCTCCATCTCAATAATAACTACCTTAGTTACCTACCAGAAGGTATCTTTAGTGGCTTGGTATCACTGAACAGACTTAACTTGGCTTCCAACTTGCTGACTTACCTTTCTCACAATGCCTTTCCTACAAGCCTGAGGATACTTGAATTATCATCGAATCAGCTGCTTTACCCAGATCCTCAAGTCTTTGCAACCCTAGACTACCTGGATCTAATCAATAATAGGTTTTACTGCAATTGCCTCTTAAGCAGCTTAATAGTGTGGCTAAATCAAACCAATGTCACCTTGGCTGGATCACCAGAGAACATGTTTTGTTTTGGACCCCATGAGCTTGCTGGAGTTCCTCTTCATGAATTAAATGTTGATAGTTGCAATGAAGACAAAGTCTTGGAGTCTCTTCAGTTGTCACTCTTCATTTTTACCTGTGTTGCTCTGACAATGTTCCTAGTGGCAGTAATTATTTTCACTCGTTTTAGAGGAACTAGTTTTATCTGGTATAAAACCATAACCAGGACATTTTTAAAAGAGCTCCAGCCAGACCTAGACAAAAATATGTATCAATATGATGCTTACATATGCTATAGTGGCAAGGACTTTGAGTGGGTTCAGCATTCTTTGATAAGGCACCTGGATTCCCAATATTCTGACCAAAATAGATTTTCTCTTTGCTTTGAAGAGAGAGATTTTCTGCCTGGAGCCGATCACATCAGCAACATTCGTGATGCCATTTGGAACTGTCGGAAAACTATTTGTGTTGTGACAAAGAATTTTCTTAAGGATGGTTGGTGTATAGAAGCATTGAATTTTGCTCAAAGTAGATATTATTCTGACCTAAAGGATGTCCTCATTATGGTGGTAGCTGGATCACTTTCTCAGTACCACCTTATGAAATATCCACCAGTCAGAGCTTTTTTGCAAAGGGGTCGATACTTGAGATGGCCTGAAGACTACCAGGATGTAGAGTGGTTTTTGAACTCACTGTCTCACCAAATACTGAAAGAGAAGGAGGTCAAAAAGAAATCAGGTTCACTAGAACTGAAAATCATAACAGTTTCTTAGCTGGCTGGCTGCCATTTCAGTAGCATAAGACAGAGGGCTCTCCAAAGAACATGCCAATCATTTCTGAAACATACTGAGTCCTTACCTTTATGAGCAATGCACTAAAATTACAGTATGAGCACCCCAGTATCCTTAATATCATTCATTTTCATTTTCGAAAGGTCTGCCTAATGAAAGAAGTGGCTTTGCAATAATCAGTGTTCTTTGATGAGGCCTTGCAGTTGCACATTGGTAGAATAAAATGCTGCTTGCATTCTTGTGATCACAGCTTGTTGATTTCGGACAAGAATGGGGATCATATACCTCTCCCAGCTATTGCTGAACTACAATATCCATCAGCCCTAGCCAACTTAGACAAGTTGCCCAATTCTTGACAAGTTGCCCAATTCTTGTTTAAGGATTATTAAATATAGAGTTATTCAGTAGTTCATAGGAAAAGTTTGTTACTTTTTCATGTAGACTTGAAAACATATCATTGCTTTCAAGCCCTGATACTTTCAAAGACTGCATAGAATGTATTTGTGAAGGCTTTCACGGCCGGGATCTAATGGTTGTTGTAGGTTTTTTGGGCTCTTTGGCCGTGTTCTGAAGGTTGTTCTTCCTAACATTTCGCCAGTCTCTGTGGCCAGCATCTTCAGAGGACAGCACTCTGTGCTCTGGTGTAGTTTGCTTGGGAGTTGAGTATTTATGGCTGTGAGACAGGCTTTTGTCCTTTTCAGGAGACGGGTGATTAGTGTGTCTTGTTGTGGGTGTATTGTTGTGATAAGGAGGAGAGATTATCTGTCACGCAACTCCCAAGCAAACTTCACCAGAGCACAGAGTGCTGTCCTCTGAAGATGCCGGCCACAGAGACTGGTGAAACGTTAGGAAGAACAACCTTCAGAACACAGCCAAAGAGCCCGAAAAACCCACAACAACCACTGCATCGAATGTTTTGATTGTGCCTGTTTCAGCAACAGAGCTAGCTGCCTCTCTTCATACCTACTGTAAGTTCTAATTATTATATATATTCAAAGCTGGGTTGATTTCACACAGTCCTGATGTCTTTATTTCCTTGAGGCCTACAGCCCTATTTGGGCCTTCATTCAATGTAGAATGAACACATACTGGAGAGTGGTGGAGTGACAGCGGCAAGCCACAGCCATGACCAGTGCATGTCCATTATAATGTCCATATGACACATACGCACCATATATAGAGTTGACATACATGAGTTGCCAGTAGCTGTTCTAATGCAGTAGAAATCTGGAGTGGTTCTTCCTGTCAGCACTCTGTTTGATTCCATCTGGAATAAACAACAGAGGACTTCTTTTGCATGTCATATATCTCAACAGATGAAATGGTTTGGGGCCTTTGTGGAATGAAGCCAAGACAAGCTCTTTTTAGTGTTCTCATTGAAACACAGTGGTTGATCCTTAACTCTAGTGCTTATTCGAATATATTTCAAATTAACTACCTCATGATCTGCATTACTGCCCATAAAGGGAATATTCAGTCAACATTCGTCTTAAAGTTCTTGTGATAGTCCATGTGTCTTGGTATATGTGAATATTTAGAATTTCTGTCATTTGCTCAAGGTGAAGTTCTGAAATCCATGAATAAATTCTGAATAAATAAGTGTAGTAACTTCCAGAGTTTCCGTGTTCCGGTCCTATATGCTAGTACTAGACTCACATAGATTAAAAACCCCTTAATGTTTTACCCCATCTTGGTGGTCTTTTATATTGCCTCTGCTCTTTTTCTTCTTTCCACTATCATGGTTTTTCTTTCTTCCAGATCTTCCTCCATGTGCTCCTGCAGTCTTTCCTACTACTACTGCTTCTCCTCTTCTATGTTTCCAGGCAGGAAAGGCGTTCTCTCTCTGAACCGTTTGAAGACTTTCAGAGCCTGAAAAGAAGGCTGCTACATGGAACTGCCTAGAATCTTGTAGAGAAATGAATCTCCCAGGCCGCCTCCAGCTTCTGGTTAGGGAAGTGCTGGTGCTTAGTGTTTAAAGATGGTACTGCAGGCTCCAGAGAGAATTCCATTAACAAATACTGTAATCATGATTGTGACCACAACATGTGACTGCTCAGGGAGTAAAAGATGTGAGAAAACACGGGGGTTGCTGGTGTGACCACAGCCTAGGTCACTGAAAGTTCTTAGCAGTTTTCTCAATTATGACACATTTTGATAAAGAACTGAATCCAGTAGGTAGTCACAACTAGAGTGAATTGATGCAGTTTACATAAGGATTGACTTATTCCTTAGCTGTTATTGTTTGTGTTAGAAGATTTACATAAGGATTGACTTATCATTCCTTAGCTGTTATTGTTTGTGTTAGAACTAATCTAGTGGTGTTTCTGGAGTGGAAAGATCAGTTAATGAAGTTGACATTGCCCAAAGGTTGTCCGAATAGAGTCGTGGTCCTCCTTCCATGTTCCCCACTCCTCAGTTCATTCAGTGAAACTACAGTACTCCATCTGGGACTATCAATAGAACTAATGCCTATTAATTGCACTTATGCCATGTGTATTTACTTAATTTTATTGTGTTCTATATTCACTGTATATTCTCTGATTACATGAAGGAACATTGAACCTGCCTCTGAATGTTTTCTAACGCGAGGATAGGACTATTTTGCTTGGAGGTGATTGACATTTGGTAGCTCAGTAATTTTGATTGTATGTGGTTGCTGTCATTTATGAAATGGAAGACTGGAAAAATGTAAGATTCATGTTAAAAATATATATTTTAATAAGATTACTTTCTTAATGTGAAGTAAACAGTAAGTGACTGGTCAAAGGAAGACCCGTTTAGTTTTTCTTTAATTAATAAACTATATTGTATTCACCTAGCCCCGAATTGGTTCTCTAATTAACAATTTGTGAACACTAGAGAGTGGCCTTTTCATTCTTATCCTCCAGGTGGTGCTGTGTGATCTTAAAAGCATTATGAGGTGAGTAGTTGCCCTTATACCAAATGCACTGATAGCCCAGCTTTAAAAGCAGTACAGTATTTCAGTAACAATTTGGCCACAAAAAGATATGAAAAGGATCTCAGGGTGTGTTTACAGTCTGTATTTTTTATGTTCCCTCAGATCTGACTTTGTACATGCCAACTTTTTAATATGCTTTCTTATCTTATGGGACATTATTGCCAAAAAAAACCAAAAAGGCTTCCAGCAGCTTTGAAAACTAATATAATTATTTTGGAAAAAGCTGTATCTAATTGTTGGTGATATGTAAGTTGGTTTCTACTGAAGAAAGTAAAGGGTAAAGGGTCATGGAATGCAAGAGGCATAGGCTGTGATACTTCTGTGCAAAGTTCAAGTTGTGAAGCATATTCAGTAGGTATAGGTAATTAGTACAACAAAAATTTCCCTGGATATTTTGTTACTATGAACTTATAATGAAATCAAGAAAGAGCATAAGGCTTGGTTAAGCCTCCGTACAAATTGACAACATTTGCAAATGCATTTCAATCTGTTATGCTTTAAACTCACTAGATGAAACTAACTTTTAAGATACTGTTCAGGTGCATTAAAAATAGAATGTTATCCCCAAATTTTCTTTCTGAATGTTACTATTTGACAGATTGGTGTCTTATTTCGTTGCACATCCACTGGCCTGCTTATTCAATGGATCCAGGAAAGGGCTTCTGAAGACAGGACAGTGTCTTTTCCTCCAACGTCTGTTCTAATAAATACCTTATGCTGTTTGCATAGGAGCAGACATGGTCACTGATTCTCCTCTTCTACCTCAGTTTTTCATGCCCCCTGAAAATCTGCTTTGGAGAAGGACCAGCCCTACCATTAGGCAAAGTGAGACAGCTTAGTGTTAGAGACAGCAGGTGGAAAGTGCTGGTGAAAAGTAGATGTGTGGTTCACAGGAGGCTTGTCTTGTATCTGCTATGCTACCCTGTTGTCTCTAAGGAGGTGTTGTGTCATCATCAGTGCCAAAGTGAGATTCAGCTGTCAATCCAACCAGTCTCTGCATTGGGCTGGACACCAATACCACTGCCTGGAGTTTGCAAGAGCTGAGTGGGGCTGTTAACAATAGGACTTTTTGGAGGTAATTCATTCGTAGGGTCACCATAATTCAGAGGTGACTGGAAGGCACGTAACAACATCCCCTTATTCTTTGCCTTTAACAGGGAAAAGTATTGCACCATCCCTGCACTAGATCATTGCGGACTCTCCAAAACTGATGGGTGGCTGAGTGATAAAGTGAAAATCATCTTCCCAAACACTATGTTTGTTTCTTTTTTGCAGTCTCTAGGCTGCTCCAGAACTTTGTAATTTAATTCACAATTTTGCAAAAAAAAAAAGGCTTAGTTCTACTCCCAGATGCCCACAGAAGCAGGGGTTTACACCCACATTGTAAAAATATCCTTGTTAAACTCATTGTGTTTGTTACTTTTCTGTTACCTAAAAAAAACCCTTTAAGATTGCTAAGACAGCATGAAACTTTTTTTAAGAACTGCCAAGATACCTCTGTAAAAGGCTTTTAAAATTATCTAGAAACCATTACTCATTATACCAGTAATGTAGTTTCATTCCTGATCATTGCCTTACTTTTGAAATATGCATTTGATATTCTGCATTTACTTCTCAGAGGGGAAAAAGTTACAGGGTATGGTATCGTAACTTGTTACTTCCAAGCCAGATAATAATGGCTTAACAAGTTTTATTTTCACTGGCAGCACCTCAGCTGGATGTCTCTGGGGCTGAACTTCCTTTAAGACATATGGCTTGCCACTGAATCTCAGTCCCTCACAAAAACAGAGAAGGCAAAGTGCATGTATTGTGTGAAAAGGGATTGTCTAGGAAGGCCTTTGTGAACTTCACAGCACAAGCTATGTATGTTACACTGGTTGGTGGGGCAATGTAAGCAGGAAGCAGGCCTGTTGCTCCTTGTATATATCTAAACTATGTGTGAGTCAGATCTGCTCCGTGAATACATCTGACCTGTGCAAAAAGGACATACCGTACACTGTCCCTCAGTGATCACAGGGAGACCAGGATGACTACTTTTCATCAGCCCAAATCCCCATGTTTGGGCATTCTCAGCTACGAACACAGTGGCTAAAAATCTTGTTGTTTAGGAGCCTCTTGGCACAGTGGTTAAACCGCTGTACTGCAACCAAAACTGTGCTCACGACCTGGCTCAAGGTTGACTCAGCCTTCTATCCTTTCGAGATCGCTAAAATGAGTACCCAGCTTGCTGGGGGGGGGGGCAATGTGTAGCCTGCATAATTAACTTGTATACCGCCCAGAGAGTGCTTGAAGCGCTATGGGGCGGTATATAAGCAGCACACTTTGCTTTTGCTTTTGCTTTGCTTTAGCATAGTAAGTTACACTAGAATAGGCCCATTGAATCATCTGGGATTTGGTGAGTTAAGTCCGCAAGCTCTATTGATTTAAATTGTAGCAAGAGTCAATGGAACTTATAAAGGAGCTGATTCACCAAATCCCCACTGATTCAATGGGCCTAACTCTAGTATGACTTACTATGCTAGACAACAGGGTTTCAGCCAGGGAGAGAGAAACACTCCTACCAGGATTCTCTTAGAAAGAAATTCACATCCTATGTGTTATT